ATGTCGAATAGAAACCCTATTTCTCCACCTGCCTCCATAAAGAATTGGCCCCATACTGCTTATTAAATAACCTTTTTCTCTTTCCTTATCAGTGAATGTTCCTGATTATAGGTGACACCCTGCTGTCTGTGGTGTCCTGCCTCTCAATGGCTCTGTTCCTGGGTGTTCTTTGTTCCACTGATCATTGTGAACATTGACATAATTAATTTTTTCACTACTGTGACTTTTACAAGTTTTGGTATCTGATATTGAAAATTCCCCAGCTTCTTATTCCCAAGGATGATCTTGATTTTTCTTAAGCTCTCTTTTTCATCTTCATATAAATTTTAGACTTCCCTTGTTAAATTATTTTTTTAATTCCTATTAAAATTTTTTGATTGACGTCTCATTTATATGAACGGACATTGTGACAACATTAATTATTCTCATTCACAAATGCAGTGTATTTCTCTGTTTATTTGCCAGTATTAGTATCTTTTACTAACTTTAAAATTTTTCTTCCATAGGAATACTGCCCATGTTTTGTTAAATTTATTCTAATTTCTTTGCTGTGTTAAATTGTTTTTTTTTTCCACATTTTTTATTTTGTGCATTATAGTTGGACCTAGTGATGGGATTTGTTGTCACATGTTCATATATGCACACAATGTAACAATATAATTTAGCCAATATAAATTAGCCAATATAATTTAGCCAATGTCACTCCCCAGCACTTCCCTACTCTTCTCTCTTTTTAGGAGATCCACCCCAACCTTTGTTTTCCTTTTTAACTCTCTAGCTTCCACAGAGGAGAGAAAACATTAAGACCCTTAACCTTCTGATTTTGACTTATTAAATTATTTTTAAAATTTGGTTTTCTGAGTATTTACTGACTATATTAATTTTGTTATTCTAATCTTACATCTAATCAACCTTTCTAAACTTTATAATAATTTCTGTAAATTACTTTGAGTTTACTTTGTGGGTGAACGTCATCTTCATATGATGTTATTTTAGTTTTTTTTTTTTTTCCTTTTCATTTTAAAATCTTTTATTTCAGTTGTTTATTGAACTGGAGAGACGGTGATAATAGGGATTCTTATTTTATTCTTGATTTAAAGAGACTGTTTTCATTAAGAATAAGATTTCTAACCAATGTGATTTTGCAACCTGTACACTCAGAAAAATGAGAAATTATACCCCATCTGATTCAAATGTATGCTATGTCAAGATCATTGTACTATCATGTGTAACTAATTAAAACAAATAAAAAATAATAAATAAATAAATATAAGAATAAGATTTCTAGGCATTTTTTTTAAAAACATCAAGTTATAGATTTTCCTTTTTTTTGTATTTTTTCATGAACATGCTTTGAATTTTATTAAATTGTATCTTCGAGAAAGTCTTGTTTTTGTCATTTGGCAGTGTGATGAATTACACTTGCAGACTTCTAAAATTAACCACTCTTGCATTCTAGCAATTAATCTAACTTGTTCAAAATGTGCTAATTTATTTTGTCTGGAAGTTTTGTATCCTTGTGTTATTAATACGTGTGACTGATCTTTAATTTTCTTTACATTGTCCTTTTCTAGTTTTGGTGTCAAGTCTTAGCATGAATGACACTTTTTTTTTTCCCTGCCTTCTTATGTTCTTAAGAGTTTGATAAGGAGGTGGAGGGTACAACTCTGTGGGTGAGGCCCTGGGTTCCATCCCCAGCAATGAAAGTAGAGAAAAGGGAAAAACAGACCAAAGAAAATAAATAACTTGGGCAGGGATGTGGCTCAAGCGGTAGAGCGCTCGCCTGGCATGCATGCGGCCCGGGTTCGATCCTCAGCACCACATACAAACAAAGATGTTGTGTCTGCCGAAAACTAAAAAGAAAAAATAAATATTAAAAAAATTCTCTCTCTCTCTCAAAAAAAAAAAACTCTTAAAAAAAAAGAAAATAAATAACTTGCTATTTCTCCTCAAAAGTCTATTTCTGTTAGAAATAGTTTGATATATCTATTATTCTCTTTTCCCTTCATACTTATTGAGTCTTTGTCTTTGTTACAGCCTCTATTATTAGCATAGAGCAAGATTTTTTTTCTAAGCTGTCCATCTCTAGTTTCTAAGTGGGATATTTAGTTCATGTGTATTTTGTTATCACATTTAAACTTGTGTCTACATTTTACTTTGTGCCTTCTCTATGTTGCTTTGCCCACCACTGTTTTTCCTTTTGCTTTAATTGTTAAGTTTTTCATGATTTCATCTGTCAGTTTGACAGATATGTACTCAATTTCTGTCCTTGCAGTGGTTATCTTTGAATGTTGATCACGTTTTAGCTTCACAAAATCAAAGTTGTTATTTTAGCTTCTCTAAAGAACAGACACTAGGAGCTTAGAATATTTAACCCCAAGCACTTTCCCTCCTGGATTTGCATGACATTGTTGTCTAATATCTCAGTTCTATCTTTAAAACATTTTTTTTCACTTTTAAAATTGACAAAAAGTAATGCAATTAGAGAAATGCAAATCAAAACCACTCTAAGATTTCATCTCGCTCCTGTCAGAATGGCAGCTATTATGCATACAAACAACAGTAAGTGTTGGTGAGGAGGTGGGGGAAAAGGTACACTCATACACTGCTGGTGGGATTGCAAATTGGTGCAGCCAATATGGAAAGCAGAATGGAGATTCCTTGGAAAATTGGGAATGGAACCACCATTTGACCTAGCTATCCTTCTCCTGGTTCTATACCCAAAGGACTTAGAAACAGCATACTACAGGGACACAGCCATATAAATGTTTATAGCAGCACAATTCACAATAGCTAAACTGTGGAACCAAGTAGATGCCCTTCAATAGATGAATGGATAAAAAAAATGGCATATATACACAATGGAATATTACTCAGCAATAAAAGAGAATAAAATCATGGCATTTGCAGGTAAACAGATGGGGTTAGAGAAGATAATGCTAAGTGAAGTTAGCCAATCCCAAAAAACCAAATGCTGAATGTTTTCTTTGATAATAAGGAGCTGATTCATAGTAGGGTAGGGAGAGGGAGCATGGGAGGAATAGATGAACTCTAGATAGGGCAGAGGGGTTGGAGGGGAGGGGATAGGGCATGGGGTAATTAATGATTGTGGAATGTGATGATCATGATTATCCAAAGTACAGGTATGAAGACACGAATTGGTGTGAATATACTGTGTATTCAACCAGAGATATGAAAAGTTGTGCTCTATATGTGTAATAAGAATTGTAATGCAATCCATTGTCCTATATAAATAAAGAAAACAAAAAAATTTCGACTGATGTGTATGATGATAAATAATTACTGTATTGCCATTTTATTTTTATCTTATTAAATGTCACTTGAAAATTAAAAAAAAATTGACGTAAAGTAAGATCTACTCTTTTGATAGACTTCTTTGAGTTTCAACATGTATATAGATCTGCGTAACGCTGCCACGAACAGAATACAGGATGATTCCCTAGTTCCTCTGGGTTGTAGTCAAACCCTGCCCTGCCCCCCACCCCCAATCCATGCCACCTGCTGCTCCCTTTTCCTTACCTGTGGCTTGGCTTTTGCAGCATGGCATACTGTGGGGGTCATTATGCCTGTGGCCTCTTGGAAAGGTCTCTTGTAGGCTGAGCATGCTGGTGGTGTGGCTGTGCGTCCCTGCACTTCTCCCTATTCTGTTCCTAGTTTTTGCAGAATGGTGTCCCTGCTGCACCCAGAGCTTATACTGTTGTGCATGTGTCAACTCGCTGTCCTGTTGGGGCACAGGCGGCTTGCCTCCAGACTGTCAGTATTGCAAGTCGAGTTGTACAAGCAATTCACAAGTGTTTTAGAGCTATGTGGATTTTTTAAACATGAAATCTTGATTGCTCCATAATAGCTTTTCTGGGTCACACAGCAAG